CACTGGAAATTTCGTTCTACCTTGCAATTCAATGAAGAAATGAAAATTGATAAGTACTCAAACTCTTTAGGATTGTTTGCTTTTGAAAATAGATAAAAATGGAAATCGTCGCTAAATCCCTCCAAAATTGGTTATGTTTATTATTTTTAATTAGTTTTATATGCAGATCAATTCAGTGATCAATTCCCAAATAAAATATGAGAGAGAATTTTTTGACATGGAGGTCTCTGATTTGAATGAACCGTAGATAATAATCATAGAACCTATTTATATCAGAATTTAATTCAGAAAAATTGTCGTTAAAACAAAATATCAACCTTTTTCGAAAAGAAAGCAGAGTTTACCAATGTTTCTTTCTTCAACAATTACCTCTGATTTTGTACGTAATTCAAAACAAACTATGAATAAATTTCGAACACTAAGCACTTCTGTATCGTTCTGAAATTCAGCACTTATTTTCGTTCAGAAAAAAAAACAAGTTGTAACTTCGACTGCCAAAACTCAACTGAATCCAGTGTTCGGTATTCTGTCTTCTATATTCCTGTACCGTACATCATGACCGAGCAACCCAACATGATCATCTGTTAAAAGTCAAGGAAATTGAAATTCCTTGAAGGGTGGTAATCTGTTAATCCCAGGTAATTAGATCGATGCAGACATAGACAGTCAGCCAAAGCTTATGATAATGATACTTTGAGCAACAAACATCTCATAGCTCTATTACCAAGTTTCTTGGAATTTTTGAATGGTGATCATTTAATGATCAGCAGATTTATAACAGGTGTAGGATGAAATAATTAGGAATCGACAATGTTTGTCTCATCTTCTGCCATCTCATCATTTGCCATCTATCGATTAGATTCCTTTCAATAGAAATACATAAGAGGCTTTCCTTTTTTTTAGCTTTACCTATGTAGTAACTCATTACTGTGATTCAGGTGAAGAATGTTGTTGGGATTTTTCCTGTTTTCAACACCATTATAAATCAATAAAAATAAAAAAAATAAAAATTTCTATGGAACAACAAAAAGTTATTTTGTTATTTGATTTTTTACACATTATTCTTCTCATGGTTTCATTTTAAAGCAGCAGATATTCAATTTGAATGAGAGAAAAGATGAATAGAAAAAGAAATATTTTTTTTTCACTCCAATAAAAATCGGAAAACATTTGAATAATTTAAAAGAGCATGAATCATACTTTACCTCAAAATAAATCGGAATGCATATTTAGTTAAGTTTTTGCTTCTGATTATTGTGAACAATTTCTAATTGTTGATGAAACAATATTTACAAGGGATTTCTCTTCAGTCGAATGAATCATCTAACAAAATGAAACGTCACTTGAGATAATACGTACATTGTACATTGAACAATATCACTTGTCGCAACTTATTATCAATTCAAGCGTTTGCTTTGTGTGTTCATTCTTACTCTATTGTGTGCATTCGCCCGGTTCATACAGCGGGGTTGTTAGCAACTAATTACGAGCGCACGCAGCTGGAAGAACTCTCGCAAATCGATTTACATGGCCCTAGTGGCGCAGTTGGTTAGCGCGCGGTACTTATAAGACAGTATTCGAAAGAAATGCCGATGTCGTGAGATCGAGGCTCACCTAGGGCAGTTGCATTTTTTTTTAATTCATTCATCCAACTTTTTTTTTCATTTATTTTCGTTGTTTTATTATTTTGCCATTATTTATTAACTAATAGTTATTAACTATTAAAATATTTAATCATAAAAAGCAAAATACATTGATCAATGTAGAAAAAGAACACTTTTGAATGAATTCATTCTCATGAAATTGACTATATCATATCAGAGAATGAAACGAATGTTCAACGAAGTCATTGGCTTTGGGTTGAAATGTTTTTTGTTTGTATTCATTATGCTATTTTATCTTTTGATTTTTTTGCTCTTATGACGAGTCAACAGTATTCGCTGGACACTTGTTGCTCATGAACTCCATACGAAAAGCGATAAAAGTGAGATAAGCTTAAAATAACTCTATCCAATTGACAGTTGCGAACAATTGCTGCTTTTATCACAGAAACTTCGTGATATTTTCTCGCGCAATTTCACATCAAGTGGTTTTGTTCATTCCAAGTGTGTCTTTTCATAGTGAAAGTTCATTTCATCAGAAGACATTTGGGTTAAGCATTTTATTTTTACTTTAATCAAATATTGAATCAACAAATTAATTAAAAACGTGAATTAAAAAAAAACTTATCAGAAAAACGTGAAATTTATTCACAAAATCGGAAGCGCTTCACAATACGTAAAAATTTCTTCAAAATAAATAAATGAACTAAACTAAAATCAGTGGCTTAAAGTAGTGCATCGAGTATTTCTAGGTTCAAATCATCGTAATTATAGTCATAAGCGGGAATATTCACAGTTGCGATCGGACGGCGAATTTTGAAGATTCGAACTTTATTCGGAACATTTGCTCTGCGGCGCATAAACGTTGGAATCTGAGCAAATCTCGAAGCTACTTGAACATTTTCGCCTTGTGGAGTATTTGGTTCAATTCTATCAACGACTGAATGGTCATTTTCCTCCAATTGTGTGAGAATGGCTTCGTTAACTGTTCTGAGGAGTGGGAATTTTCGGTTTTCATTTGTGTCAATGTTCAAATTGACACCTTGTGGTGGTTTGAAGTCTGCGTATGTGTCTTTGTCAACTGAGCAAAGTCCAACAAAATCGTCCATATCAATTGGAAAGACCATAGCGCCAGCCAATTTCTGGCTCACAGCAAACTGAATTTTGCGCACAATTGAACGACCACTTTCGAAGACAATTGTGGAAAGTCGTGGCAAATGAGCGCCAGAGGAGGGTTCCATTCGTTTTGCAATGGCCAGACCTGATTTTGGATCGTAGATTTTTTGCCATCCACTCAATTTTGACAATGCATCACAGACTTCATTGTAGCCCAGCTGACGTCTGAATGTCGTCGCACTGAAACGGCCAAGTCCTTGTATCGATCGAAACAAAAGGCCCGAGAATTGAACTCCCATCACAAGCTTATTCGCAGCAACACCTCGTTCGAGAAGCGAATTGATCATTTGTTCGGTGCTGTTGATTGAACGCTCTTTTATCGCATAGTTGATGATATCCTCTTGTGGCTTCCAATTGAAATTGTACTTTTGCACAAAATGCACGTAGTCCAAGTGGCGAGATATTGCCGGAATGTCAAGCACTTCGGCTATATTTTCCGTTGTCGCAACAAATGTTGATGTCACCGATAGACCGTGCAATTTGAACGTTTTTTTCAAGCGCTTCACAAAACTGTGGATTTGTTCTTTGTCGAAGCGCAAATTGGGATTGGCATAGTCACCGAACGATTGATTCGGTTGCAAGTTAGTGTCGCTGTTGAGTGAGAGAGATAAGGTCAATCAAATTAGATGGAGTTTGAAAATTTCGATTAATTTTGAGAAGAATGTTTCCTAAAAGCTGTTTCTATTGCTTTGAAAAATAGCTCAAAATCCAGCGTTCGATGACAAAAATCAATGAAGCGAAACATTTTCATTCGAATGAAGAATTTTTAAAGGATTCAAATGATGAATTGATCCAATTCAAATGAAAACATGACATTTATAATCGAAAAATATTCAATTCAACCAAAAATTGAAGATTTCAAACGAACCTTATGTCCGAGAACTCCCACATTAAATCCAATCCATCGAATTTATGCTGCAACAGATAGTCTGATGCATCTTTGGCAAAGTCCCAATAACTTGCTGGATCCGTTGCAATTCGCAAGTAATCGACCAAGAAATGCTTAATGGCCAATGAAATCTGGAATAAGTACGAACCAACAACATTTTTTGTCAAAATTCTTCGTTTGATGTAAATTTTTTGATTTTCATTCAATGAATTTTCGTAATTTTACCTTCAAATGTGGATAAGTTTCCCGTAAGTTGGTGAACCGCTCATAGTTGGAGGTTTCGAGTGAGTCTCGCCATGGTCCTATTCATGGAGAATAATACAAATACATACATTAGTTCAAGGTTTTTAACAATTTGGTGCATAAAAGTATGAATAAATTGAAAATTGAAACTGTATTCACTGCAATTCCAATAGGATTAGGAATACAATGTTTGTTTTAAAAATATAATCGTTCTTAATCAATTCAAATTGATTGATACTCAATTTTCAGTTCACTTGAATACTTTTTTGCACAATAATGTGTACAGATTCTGCACAACATAACGATAAACGATTTAAAAAGGCTATTTTACCCGTTGTGTATGTTGTAACATCCAGATTGTCTGCATAAATGAGATGCGTGCACAGATTTAAATCTACATCCTCAATTGGAAATTGAGTTCCATTCGAACTTGTTTCATTGGTTGCATAGCATACGATTACTTTGTCATGGGTTGGACCTGTGGTTTTTGGAATGAATCAAGAATTTGATTTTTTACATTTTCACTCTAGTTCCATGTGTTCAACAGATTGAGAAAATCTTGGTGCATTAATTTTTTTCTTTGCTTCCTCAAAAGCAGAGGTCGGAAAGATTCTGCAGTTTTTCGGTCTTTTAAATTCAGTTTGTTTATGAAATAATTCTCACCAGTTTCAGCTGTCGCCAAAGCAATAATAATGCAAAGTGTGAAAATGTCTCTGAAATGCATCGTCCAAACTAGAGATCGTCACCTAAATTTGAAAAGAAATAAAAATGAAATGAGTTTATTTCAATTTGTCTTCACGAAACTTGTTTTCTCTGTTTTTTCCCTTTTCTTTGGAATTTGTATAGATAAGTTGACCTGAAAATGAACCAAAAAGAAAGAATGACCACTTAATTCATTTCT